TCGGTCAGAAGAAGAACATGCACATCATTTGAGATTACTTCTGGAATTGTTGAAACAAGAGAAACTGTATGCCAAGATGTCAAAATGTGAATTTTGGCTACGAGAAGTCTAATTTTTAGGGCATGTTATCTCAAAAGAAGGCATCAAAGTGGATCCTTTGAAGATTGAAGCCATTGAAAAATGGGAAGCTCCAAAGACTCCAACTGAAATCAGAAGTTTTCTTGGATTGGCTGGGTATTATCGTAAATTTATACAGGATTTCTCTCGTATAGCTACTCCATTAACGAAGTTGACCAAAAAGAATGTGAAATATGAGTGGGATGAAGCACAAGCTCAGGCTTTTCAGATATTGAAGGATAAGTTATGCAGTGCACCAATTCTATCTTTACTAGATGGAATGGAAGATTTTGTAGTTTATAGTGACGTGTCAAAGATGGGTTTGGGTTGTGTACTATTGCAACGTGGAAAGGTAATAGCTTATGCTTCTAGACAGTTAAAAGATCATGAAAGGCAGTATCCTACTCACGATATGGAATTGGCGGCAGCAGTGTTTGCTTTGAAGATATGGAGACATTATTTGTATGGAACGAAATGTCAAATCTTCACAGATCATAAGAGCTTGCAACATCTGTTCCATCAGAAAGACCTGAATATGCGTCAGAGAAGATGGTTGGAATTGGTAAGTTACTATGATTGTGAAATTTTGTATCACCCAGGAAAAGCAAACGTAGTGGCCGATGCGCTAAGTCGACAAGAGAAGAGTGGAACTATCAAAGCTATAGCTCTACGGGTTGAGTTATTACCAAGTATTTAGGAAGAATTGCAAGAATATCAGCACAAGGCAATGAAGAAGGATAAGGTTAAACAAGAGAGACTAGATGGATTAATATATGATCTAGTAAAAGATGACAGAGAATTTTTGAAATTTCAAAAATAGAAATTGGGTACCATGTTATGGTGATCTTAGGAAACATATCTTGGGTGAGGCTCATAAGTCACGTTTTGCAATTCATCCAGGTACAAATAAAATGTATCGGGATTTAAAGCAACATTATCGGTGGCCAGGTATGAAGAAAGATATAGCTAAACATGTTGAGAAATGTCTAACATGTCTTCAGGTAAAGATTGAACACCAACGCCCTTACGGTAAGTTACAATCTTTAGAAATTCCAGTGTGGAAGTGGGATCACATCACTATGGATTTCATAACCAAATTACCGAGAACATCAAAAGGTTATGATGCTATATGGGTAATAGTAGATCGGTTGTCTAAATCTGCTCACCTCTTACCTATCAAAGAGTCATATTCAATGGAGAGATTGGCAAAACTATACATTGATGAGGTAGTGACATGACATGGTGTTCCTCTATCAATTGTTTCTGATAGGGATAGTCGGTTCACATCCATGTTTTGGAAGAGTTTCCAAAGAGAAATGGGTTCTCATATTAAGTTAAGTACAACTTATCATCCTCAAACTGATGGACAAAGTGAACGAACCATCCAAACTTTAGAAGATATGCTAAGAGCATGTGTCATTGATTTTGGAGGGTCATGGGTTAGTCATTTGGCTCTGGTGGAATTTGCATACAACAATAGTTACCATTCAAGTATTCAGGCAGCACCTTTCGAGGTTCTGTATGGACGAAAATGTCGAACTCCATTGTGTTGGAATGAAATAGGTGAAAAACAGTTGGCCGGGCTTGAGTTAGTTAAGCAAACTGCATATAAAATTGGAGTAATACGGAAACGAATGAAAGCGGCACAAGATAGACAAAGAAGTTATGCAGATAAACATCGGAAGCCGATTGAGTTTCAAGTGGGTGATAGAGTGATGTTAAAAGTATCACCTTGGAACGGAATGGTACGTTTTGGAAAAAGAGGGAAGTTAAGTCCAAGATATGTTGAACCATTCCTTATCACTGGAAGAGTTGGGGAAGTGGCTTATAAGTTAGAACTTCCTTTAGAGCTAAGTGGGATCCATGACACATTTCATGTGTCGAATTTGAGGAAGTGTCTAATAAGTCCAGATGTGGCAGTACCATTACCTGAAATTAAGRTAGATGAAAAGTTATGCTATGAAGAAACCCCTGAACAGATTACTGACTACAAGGTGAAGAAATTACGAAACAAAGAGGTTGGGTTAGTGAAGATTCAGTGGCGTTATCACAAAGGACCAGACGCCACATGGGAATCAGAGTCTGAGATGCAGATGAAGTATCCTTACCTTTTTGCTTAAATGGAATTCCGGGACGAAATTCTTTTAAGGAGGGAATGTTGTAATATTCGGGTTACAAGTTTTAATTTAAGATTTTGGAATATATATATATATATATACATATATGTATATATATATATATATGTATATATATATATATTTGTGTAAGACTGTGTGTGTGTGGGTGTACTTAATTTATTATATAGTTTGTTAGGAGAAGGGAGGTCGGCTGATTGCCAGCTCTCACAATTCCATTTACTATAAATAGTAATTGAGGTTTTAGAAAGAAAATTTACACACACTTGATATTGAGGAAAATTCTTACTTGACGTCTAGATTTGGCTGAGGAAGGAAAAAAAATTCAAAAACAAGGACATTTGGTTTTAAGGTGAGTGTATATTGCTTTAAAGTATTGGTTATTACTTCTTTTACAGCTAGAATTTGCTATTTATGAACTGCATTTCATAAATATTTGGTTAAGTCCTTAAACCGGACAAGGAGTGTCCGGAGTTCTCCTTAAACCGGTTAAGAGGTGACCGGATATTTCCTTAAACCGCCCAAGTGTTGACCGGATATTTTCTTAAACTGCTCAAGTTATGACCGGATATCTACCTAAACCGCTCAAGTGTTGAACGGATATGTTTTTAAACCGCTCAAGGGACAGGTGGATTCTCTTTAAATCGCTCATGTGTTAACCGGCTTAAAGCTAAACCACCCAAGGCGTGGTCGATGTAACCCTCTTGATATTCTAAGTGTTTGTCCGGACTTCATATCCGAACAAGGTTGACCGGACTTCAAATCCGGATAATGTGTTAGAATTTTTTTGATATAATTAAGGAGAGAGATGAAATGGCGGTGTAACCGCGAGAGAGCTGTAATGGCGGTGTAATCGCGAGAGAGAGATGTAATGGCGGTGTAACCGCGAGAGAGATGAAATGGCGGTGTAATCACGAGAGGAATGAAATGGCGGTGTAACCGCGAGAGAGATGAAATGGCGGTGTAACCGCGAGAGAAATAAATAAGTATATGTATCTGAACAGGTTTGATTTTGAACTGATTGTTTGAAAAGTATGTTATTTGTTTGAGATTTATACACTCACTAGACCTTTTAGGTCTAACGCTTAGTTGTTGGACTAACCTGTTTTGCAGGTCATCATACCTCGCAAAATAAAGGCAAGGGAAAAGTTTAGAATGAATGACATTTAGTTGCTCATAAATGTATTCAAGAGACTTTTTGTTTAGCACATGTTTTATAAACGATATTACGTTCTATGTTATGAGTATTTGTATGTGGATTATCGGTATATAGAATATGTGGGTTGTTACACTATTTTCTTACACAAATACCACCGTTGTAATTTTGGTGTAATTGGCAAATATGTCAACACCAAATTAGACACCTTATTGTTTCGTTCGGTTGTCTTGTAATGAGACTCCCCACATATTAGACAACTGTTATGATTAGCATATTTCTTATAAAATAGCATGCAATGGTTCTTGCAAGCATGTATCTTTTCTTTCAGAAGACCAAGCTCCTTCAACATCTTCTTTGTCTCGTAAAACCTACCAACCAGTTGTTCACCGTCAGGTAACATTTCTTTTACCATAGAAAGGTTATGATTGAAGGTTGTCTCTGGTACATTGCAATCTGCCTTCTAATTCAAAAACCTTGCCGCTGCCTGTAACTTTGAAAATCTCTAGCATCCCTCCCACAACGGCTCGTCTGCAATTCATAACATATCATAGAAACGCTATGCGTGTTGATTTGGTTCTTACTCGTCCTACGTACTTGATGTACCGAGAACATTTTGATCCATCTCCATTTGTTCAACACCATCAAACTCATTATAATCTTTGTCCACTATTATTTGTTGTTGTTGTTGTTGTTGAAGTTCGGGTTCTAATTCACTGTGTGCATACCAATGACTATAATTGATCATGAATCCTTTTCTTAACAAGTCTATATGAATCTCGTCTCTATTTTTAAACTTTTGAAGTTGACATTTCTTACAATGACATCTTGCCGTAGATCTCTCATTAGAGAAAGCAAAATCTAAAAATCCAACTATTTCGACTTGGAAAACTGGATTTATAGTCTCGTTCTTATTTATTCGTTTATACATCCATCCTCTATCAACATTAGTCGACATAGCTATTTAAAAAATTATGTGTCAGTTTAATTAGTTGTTATATATAAAATTATAAATATAAGTCCTAACGTTTGCCCAACAATTGGCAACCCATTTCTAACACAAAATAGACCTCAATTTCGTTTATAAATAAAAGCCTTAATGTTTGCCCAACAATTGGCAACCCATTTCTAACACAAAATAGACCTCAATTTCGTTTATAAATACAACTCCTAACGTTTGTACAACAATTGGCAACCAATTTGTAACACAAAATACACCTCAATTTCTTTTATAAATACAAGTCCTAACGTTAGCCCAACAATTGACAACCCATTTCTAACACAAATACATCTCAATTTCGTTTATAAATACAAGTCCTGACGTTTGCCCAACAATTGACAACCCATT